GGAGATGCAGAGAGAGACATCGGAGAGAGACATCAAGGACAGGTGGAGACATAGAGAGAGAGACAGACAGAGACAGAGAGACATGATAGAGAGAGAGACATCAGAGAGAGGTGGAGACATAGAGATACATGAGAGAGACATAGAGATACATGAGAGAGACATCAGAGAAAGACATCGGATAGAGACATCAGGGAGAGGTGGGGACATAGAGAGAGATATACAGGTAGAGAGATACATCAGAAAGAGACATGAGAGAGAGAAAGCAGAGAGAGGCATCGGATAGAGACATCAGGGAGAGGTGTGGACATAGAGAGACGCAGAGTGAGAGACACAGAGAGAAGTGGGGACAGACAGAGAAAGAGACAAAGAGAGAGGGGGACAGAGACATTAGAGAGAGATACATAGAGAGAAAGACAGAGATAGTGAAACGGAAAAGAGAGACACAGAGAGAAAGAGAGACAGAGATAGATATACAGAAAGATATTAAAAGAAAAATATGGAGTCGGAAAGAGACAGAGAGACAGCGAGAGATCTAGAGAGTGGGTGATGCAGAGAGAGATGAATACAGAGTTACATTGACAGGGAAACAGAGACAGAGACGGAGATAGAGATGGAGACAGAGAGACATAGAGACAGACAGAAAGAGATACAGAGAACGAAGCACAGAGAGACACAGAGAGACATTGACAGAGAAACTCAGAGACAGAGAGAGAAACGGAGAAAGAGAGCTGGAGACAGAGAGAAACAGACACACACACAGAGCAATGCAGAGAGAGATAGAGAGAGACATTGACAGAGAAAGACAGAGGCACAGAGAGAGAGATGGAGACAGCGGGAGAGATGGAGAGACAAGGAGAGAGACACAGCCACTTTAGCCAGTACTGGAGATGCCTGTGGTGGTGTCGCTGTGAGCCGCGTCACGTGGTGCCGTGGTTTGTTTGTGGGCCCTCTGGAGGTTCCGCTACCTGCAGCTCGCGTCTATGAGAGGGCGACTCCACGCCATGGAGTGGCCACGGACGAGTGCCGTGACACTGCCCCACGGGAAGTCAAGGGGATTTTTACTCATTGGTTTTTTCGGTAAAGTCACGTATGTAGAAATATAATAAAATTATATTAAAGCAAAAAACAATCAGGACGTTTCGATCACAACGCAAGCGATCTTCATCAGGTGTCAAGAACAAATCACAGAGGTAAATACAACAAAAAGATGATAGACGAGAATTCAACAAACCTGAAAAAACATTACGTGAAGCACATCCAGTCAGGCCAACAACACAGTTAGACACTTCCTGGCGGACCACGAATTTCAGAAGAGTGTTTAATTTCGTGTTCTACTTTTGGATTGCACATACTAGCATAGATAGAATGAAAAATACGAGGTACACGGTCAGTAGAAATACATATACAAGTCCACCAAGAGGTAAGGAGGGAGGAAAGACGGACAGGGAGGCAGAGAGAGGGGGGGGGGGGGCGGAGGGATGAACAGAAGCTTAAATAGGAAATACGGTTGGAGGGGGGGAGGGGCCAGAGCGAGAGCGGCAGCTCAAACACGCACATTTTACACATACAAAACGGCAGCTCAAAAAAGGGCCACCTCTTGTAAATACAAAACGGCAGCTCAAAAAAGGGGCACATGGCGATAAAATGGCTGGATTCTTACCCTCAACTTTAGCACCACGGATAGCTACGGGCCCCGTTCAGACGGACGAGTTCATCCATTCAGACGGACGAGTTCATCCATATAGCATTGTGATATATAACGACTTATTGTTGGTAGCTTAGCTGATTGGAGAATATAGAGTTTATTGATAACATTAAGGTAATTTATATTTTAGTTTTTTATTGGTTCACTATATAGTACTGTGAATAGCTCAGATGTGTAGGCCTTGACTTCAACATAGTCATTTCTGTGACCAGTCACTAGCTAATCACTCAGTTATTTCAATGCTAAATTCGCCTAGTTATTTCAATGCTAAATTATCCTGTTTGATTTGTACTAAGTGCCTCGGTGAATGTGTATGCTCTGACTTTAACGTAGCTATTTCTGTGACCAGTTACAAGCTAATCACTCAGCTATTTCAGTGATAAATTCTATGCTAATTCCTTTGTCAAGGGGTGCCTCTGCGGATGTGTATGCTTTAACTTAGCTATTTCAATGCTAAATTCTATGCCAATTCCTTTATCAAGGGGTGCCTCTGCGGATGTGTATGCTTTAACTTTTAACATAGCTATTTCTGTGACCAGTCACAAGCTAATCACTCAGCCATTTCAATGCTAAATTATATGCTAATTCCTTTGTCAAGGCGCTTTGTTTCCTCTCACAGAGCTTAAAGGTCGTGATCTGAATGTGTCTCTTTCACTCCAGTGCTGTCCTACCAGACAGTCTCGTCCCTTCACCTGATGAAGGCCGCTTGTGTTGTGGCCGAAACGTCGTGAGAATATTATTGTGTTATTTATTTTATCAATTTATTATTTTATTCTCATTCTACGTGACTTTACCGAAAGAACCAAAGAAGATGAATCATTGCAGTCATGAAAGCTTTAAATCGAAATTCAGTAGTAGCTAGTTTTGCACAAAACTTCAACATTATCAAAATCAATTGAGTGTCCTTGTTGGCACGCGTGTTCTGCTACTGCTGACAGTTGCATTTGGTAGAATTTAATATTTATCTGATGTTCTTTTAGTCTCTTGCTGATCATTCGTCCTGTTTGCCCAACATAGCATTTACCAAACGTGCAGTTAATCCTGTACACACCTTCTGTTGATAGCTTCGGTAATACATGTTTTGTTCCAGATATTAATTTCTGTATTTTATGTACCGTGCCAAATCTGACTCGGATGTTTTGTTTCTCCAAACATCTGGCTAGTTTATCAGTTACTACCGCAATGTACGGTATTTTGATCGTTTTATTTACTTGGGTAGTTTCAATGCTTTTGTTATTTGATTTGGTTTTGGTATTCAATGCCCTATTGATTTGTACATCATTGTAACCGTTCATTTGCAGCGCTTCTTTAATATGTTGAATTTCACTTCTCAGATTGTCACCATCTGATACACTGAACGCATTTCTAAATCATCTCAACTGGCAAAACCCATCCATCCAGTTCACCATGGAAGTGTAAGCTGACAGAAATCTGACACTTTCTTAGCTCGATGAATGAGCTCTTGATAAGAGTATATTTAGGTTTGGGGTGATGGTGTGACTCGGCAATAAGATAGGCGTCAGTATGCATTTTCTTTAGGAAAAATACTGGGTGTAATTTTACCATTTCTGCTCCGTCCGAGAAGAATATCCAGAAATTTTAGAGTTCTGAAAAAGGGGCGTGGCCAAGGGCGTGGCCTGGCCCCGCCGCAGGGATAAAATCCGAGCTCCGGGGAGGACCGGGGTTGGTCGCCACTGGGAAGAAACCTCCATCATCGTGGTCTTCAGTCTCTGGTCATCGCGCACGTGGACCAGGCTGTCCTGGTCCGATTTAGTAGTTGTCCCATCCAGTGTGTAAATAGCCATCCCCCCCAAGTGTATTTAGTTCGTATAAGAACGGTGATTCACCAACCTCTGTCGTTATCCCGTTCACGTTAAGAGTTCATGTGATGTTAGTTTAAAAAAAAACATGTTGCCTCCAAGTTCAAGTGTGCGCCTCAATTGAACCCATTACAGTAGTAATAGCTCGAATTGAGCAGCGTGATCAGCGTGGATGGAGTTTCGGGTTTCTTCTCTTGCAGCTCCTCCATCAGCGGCGGTGTGAGAGGAGTCATTTGCAGGACTGCACCTTTAAAAATGTATCTATCTCTCTGTCTATCCGCTATGTATCTATCTGTCTATCCACTATCTATTGATCTGTCTATCTGTTATCTATCTGTCTATTCGCTATCTATCAATCTGTCTATCTATATGATATCTATTTGTCTATCCGCTATCTATCGATCTGTCTATTGGCTATTTATCAATCTGTCTATCCACTACCTATCGATCTGTCTATCTGCTATCTAAATATCTGTTTAACCGCTATCTATCGATCTGTCTATTTGCTATCTATCGATCTGTCTATCTATCGATCCACTATCTATAGATCTATCTGCTACTGCATCTATCTATCTATCCGCTATCTATCGATCTCTCTATCCACTATCTATCGATTTGTCTATTTGCTATCTATCTGTCTATCCGCTATCTGTCTATTAGATATCTGTCTACCCGATGTACCCACTACCGGCTCACTCGGTCACAACTCTCCGGCCCACCCGTTGCCGAACGCTCCAGTCCGACTGCGGTCTCAACCAATCAAAACGAAGGCCGCGACTCCCCGTGTCCCCCCTAGTTTCTTCTCCCCACCGCCCCCCCCGCCCCCCGCCTTCTACCCACCGCCCCCCCATACCCCCCCACCTCCCGCCCCCACCAGTCCCCACCCGCCCCCCCGCACGCCGCCCGCCACCCCACGCCCCCCCCACCGGCCCGAATTCCACTCTCTGTGCGCCCCCCCCTCCAAACCCCCCCGCCCTCCCCACACCCCCCACCCCCCCTGCCCGCCCCCCTGTGCTGCTCACCGGCCGGCGTCGCCGGCAACATCTTGCCTGAGCCACTCCGTGAGCCCTCCCCTAGGTCGGCTCAGCCTCAAATGAGAATCCCTGGTGTGGTGCGCGTGACCATCATCTCCGCTGGGGAGACCAAGGTGGCGCGCGGCGCCTTGCCGGCCTTCGTAGGCCCTGCTCGCTAACCTCACTTTGCCCTGGCAGTCTGTTGCAGGCTACACGGGGGATCTTTGTCCGTGTGTCGTGCGTCTCACGGGGGAGCGGTCAGCGACCCCGCGCTGCGAACCCGGCGACCCCCTCCCACCCCCCATGCCCGCGGCTACCAACGCAGCTGATCGCGATCAGCAGAACCGCGAGTATCCTTAGGGGGGGGGGGGGATACAAATGTGGCCGGGCGCCGTGAGGGCAGGCCACACCAGAACCCCCACCCACCCCGCCATTGTGCGTGCCGGGAGTGGAACGCCTTACCGGAAGGCGTCGATCTCTGTGCGGTTCTCGAGCCAGGGACAATCGCGAACCTTCAGGATCTTCTCCACCACCGACTGCTCGTTGAACCTAACGCAAGAGACAGAGCGGGGTCACCACCACCCCTGCCGCCCGCGTCCGCGGCACTACCCCCGTCGCTCACCCAGTGAACGATCCGAATGGCGCTCCCCCCATCGATCACCCGGTGAGCAATCCGAGCGGCGCTATCTCCATCGCTCACCCGGTGAGCAATCTAAGTGGATGACTCCCCAGTCGCTCACCTGGTGAGCGTGGCCAGACACTTAACGTTCCACTGCACCGACACCGGGGTCACGGAGGGCCCAGCATGCCGAAGTTGGTCCTAAAGCCTCCATCGGCAACCACCACCCAAACCCCCCCACTCTGTCCAGATGTTGAACCGATTTGTTCTCACGTCTGTGGCGGAGGGTCACTGGCGATGCTTGTCAAGATTTGCCGGCACTGCGGGCTCAGTTTGACTTTCGCCTTCGGTCTGGGAAAAGAGGAAACGACGGAGATGGGTTTAACACGTGGAAGACTTTCACAACCAAATATCATCCATAATGCAGGTGTGTTGGGTTAGGTCGCATAAAAACAGGGTGCTTCAAAAAAATGTTAACACTTCAGAGAATTTGCAACAATACCGCAAGAAACGTGCCTCCAGGGCTCTGGAGACCACCTGGAGAAGATTCCAGGCATGTGTTGACAACGATGGTGAACAAGTGGGAGACTCTTTGACTTTTTGAAGCTATTAGCACACATTTGTTGTCACGTTACAGTGTATTATCTGCTCTTTTTACATTAAAAACGATAGTCCCATATAAGTGTTAAAACATTTTTTAAGCACCCTGTTTATAAAAGTGTCGTTAAACCCGCCACCACCCAACACAATTAATAAGGGTTTGTCACGTAAAACAAAACATGACACACAAAGTGGTCTCTACGCTGTTGCACCAGCCACGCTGAGCGCCGGGAGCCACCATTGGAGGACTTGCGGTCACGTGACCAGGAGCGGGGAGCTCCAGTCCGGATACAGGAGGGGGCGTGGCCGAGGGCGGTGCGAGGCGACGGCCAGGGGATAAAGGGGGAGGGCCGAGGGGACTGGGGGCTCGTTTGGGTATCCACTAAAGAGGACTCTGCTCTTCGCTGCCGCTCTTCGTCGTCATGTAGGTTTAGTCGGGGAAACGTGGGTCCGGAGCAAGTGTGCTACCAACCCGGTGATAGCTTACTCACACACACATAGTGAACAGTCTAGGACAGTATAGCCACACTTAACAATAGAGCCCAGTGATCATTGAATTGTTTATTAAACGCGTTGCCTCCACAAATATAGTGTGTGCTCCTCTGTACTTACACTACAGTAGTCTAGCACACCGGCGTGTTGGAGAGCAAAGCCACAACCAGAGATTGGTTACAGATCTGGCATCAATCACTGGACTCACTCCACCCGCCCGCCGACGATCGCTCCTCCCCCCTCCGTTGTTGTTGGAGGGCGACTGCCTCGAACTGCCCAGTAGTGTCCTGCTGCTGCTCTATTTAAGACCGGGAGCAAGAGGAGAGCCTCACCAATCTGGCAAATTGCCCGATGAAGCTGGATGTAATTACCAGCGAAACGTCGTACTGGAATTTTTAATGATATTGATTCACTCTTCAACACACTGGTGGCTAAAGTAGTGAATTATTTGTCATTTGTAAACGTGACACATTTTGTACTGTTTGGCCGTGTCGGGTGGTGAAGGGTTACGACTCATTTATAAATAACGCGATCTAACCCAAAAACCTTTATTATGCTACGGGGCAGTTGGAGTCAGTGGCCCTCCAGCAACAACGGAGGACTAAGGAACGACGCTCACAACAACGAGCGGAGCGCCGGGCGGATAAAATGCAGCAAGTTGGCACAGTAGGCGGTACAGCTGGTGTGCATCTATCGCTCATCTTGGTCACCAACCCATGGCACCTGCTGGGTCTGTCCCGAGACCTCCTCCTTTCAGCGAGCCTTCAACGCTTCATGTGGCCTCAAAGTGCACCTGGCCTGGTACAGGTGCCATGGTGACGTCACTCTCACTTAGTGGCAAATGTCGGGTATTGGTATTGGTGGAAGGGTGGTGGGAGGCTTGGTGGGTGGGTCGGTGGTGGGTGGTAAGTGGGTGGGTTGGTTGGTCGGTTGATGGGTGGGTTGGTGGGTGGGTGGTGGGTGGGTGGTGGGTGGATGGTAGATGGGTGGGTTGGTGGGTGGTAGTTGGGTGGTGGGTGGTAGATGCTTGGTGGGTGGTGGTTGGTTGGTGGGTGGGTGGGTTGTTGTGTGGGTGGGTGTTTGGTTGTAGGTGGGTGGCGATTGTTACATTGGGGAAACGAAACGACATGTCTCGGACCGTGTTCGCGAGCACAAGGCAGATCTGAAACACGGCAGAACTAACTCCTCCACCGTGGCTGACCACTGTTATAACGCTTTGGGCTCTCATGATATTGTTTTTTCTGAGACCAAGGTGCTCTGAAAACCTTCAAGCTACTATCAAAGGTTTGTTCATGAAGCCATCCAGATATATAAACAGACATAACTTCAACCGGGGATATGGATACAAATTGAGCAATCATTGGAAGGATGTTATGGTGTTGCCATTATATCCGCATCTCCTGTTGCTTCAGCTCCCCACTCCCATCCCCGCTCTCTTCACCTCCCCACCCCCCGACATTTTGTCTCTGCTCGCCCTTTAATCCCTTCCAGCTGCTCTTCACTCGGCAGCGCTCCACTCTCCCTACCCCGACAGACGTTGCTATAGCTGAAATTGCCACCATCCTTAAAAATTCTAAGAAACCCATTAGTAACATCAGCAAAGACGAACGCTTTGAACTTGTCGGCCGAGTCATCCTCTCGGCCGACAAGGGCAATGCTACTGTCATAATGGTTAAAACCACATACAACAACAGAATCCAGGACCTTCTTAATGATGGCAGCTCCACCAAAATCAACAAAGATCCTACTAACAGACTGACTACAAAAAACAACAATATCATTACCAGTTCGACTTCTCTAATCGAACCAGTCAAATGTGCCTCCCGAAACCTTGTGCTGCTAGACCACCCAGATTCTATGGTCTTCCTAAGATCCATGAGAAAGGCACTCCACTTCGGCCCATCGTTTCCACTATCAACTCACCTACTTACAAGCTGGACCGTTTTCTGATACCTTACTTCAATTCACTGGCAAAAACTACTTCAGCAGTACATAACTCAGCTCACTTAGTCTCTCTAATCAAGGGCATTTAACTGTCCCCAGATGATATTCTGGTCAGCTTTGATGTTGTTTCTCTGTTCACCAAGGTTCCTGTGCCTGACACCTTAGCAATAATGAAGATTTAGTCCAACATGGCACTGCCTTATCAACACTTACTTCCCCTGGAATGGTACTTTCCACAAACAAAATGAAGGTACCCCCCTTATCACCAGTGATAGCGAATGTTTTTATGGAGAAATTTGAAACAGATGCCATCCAGACATCCACCCTACGTCTTTCCTTGTGGAAGAGATATGTGGATGACACTTTAGTCATTTGGCCACATGGCCTGCCAGCACTGAACCAATTTATCAACCACATTAACTCCATACACCCATCCATCAAATTCACCATGGAAGTGGAGAAGGATGGTAAGCTACTATTCCTGGATTTTCCTTTGAGAAGAAACCTGATGGCTATTTGGGACACTCTGTCTACAGGAAAGCCACCAACACAAATTCCTATCTGAAACCTGATTCCCACCACCATCCGGCACAGAAGAATTCCCTCATCAAAACACTACACCATAGGGCTCACTGCATTTTTGACCAACACCACCTAGCCAGTGAACTGGAACACCTACACCAGGCCCTTACGATGAATGGGTATTCGGACCGCATTATCCACAAAGCTGTTTCTCCAACCATAGAGAAACAACCCACTGAGACGTAAATCATAACCATCACGTTACCTCCATAGCTGGCGTTACCAAAAATATTTCCAAAATCTTAAACAAACACAAGATCCAGGTCCGATTCAGTACAGTACACAAAATCCGTGTTCTAATCCCATCTGTGAAGGATGTCATTCCTGACATGCAATTTCCTGGAGTCTCCAAAGTAAGTTGAATCTGTGGTGATTGTTCCATTGGTGAAACGAAACGACATGTGAATCATTTGGCGGGACCCTGGGATCCCGCAAAAATCAGGTCAATAATGATTATTTTTCAGTCCGCCCACTCGTGATCCCGATAGCAACGCGTCGCCTGCCCAGACTCGCGCCAACAAGCGCCAGCAGGTGGCGATCAACACAATGGGCGCCACCCCACCGGCCAAACGCAAGCCCCGGGGGGCGTCCGCCGCGGTCGCGCGCGGCGACAACGCCCTCCGGTCAGCCGTCGATCCTCAACTTCTTTGCCAAGGCGAGCCCGCCCCCGCAGTGAATTTAACGTGTTTATGTAATTTTTCAACTTTTTATGAAACTTAGTGCCCCGAGTAGCTCTCAACGAGGCCAATCGATTGAAACTAGTTTTGTTGTCGGTAAGGCAAGACTCGTGTCGCTACGTGGTTTTTCCCACCCCGGGGCAGTGATGGGACCCCGGGGTCCTGCCAATTGCTTCATGTCTCGGATCGTGTTCGCGAGCACAAATCAAATCTTAAATACGGCATTACCAATACCTCTGCCGTGGCTGACCATTGCTATAACGCTGTGAGCTCTCATGATATTGTTTTTTCCGAGACCAAGGTGCTCTGCAGACCTTCGGGTTACTATCAAAGGTTTAAATTTTGATTTAAAGCTTTCGTGACTGCAGTAATTCATATTCTTAGCTCTTTTTGTAAAGTCACGTTGAAGGCTCAGCTGATCGAGTCTCTCACCTTTCTGAAGAGATGCCGCGACTCTGCGGTAATACCAATCGTATTTACACTGACCTCTGCTGCTGTAACTTCTTCTAATGCGAAACGAATTCTTTTCAAAACTAGCTTAGCTCTTATCTCAGAAAAAATCAGACTTATACGCATTGAACTAGATCAGTTAGACAAGACACTCTACAAATCACACTTATCATTGACGGAAACAATGTCCACATCGGATTGGGAACATGTAGACAATATGACTGCCTCTTCTGCTGCTACTATGTCGACCAAATGTAAGGACAACCTGATTTCCAAATTTAACCTCCTCTTCAACAAAAGACCGGACCCACACACCAAAAAGTTAGACGTTAACAAAGTCGTAATTAATCGCAGTAACAGTTCTATTTCCGATGGTCTGAAATCCGTTTTAGCTAAAGGTCTAAACTTTGCAGTCACACCTAAACACATACAAGTTAATGATATAATTGCCCAAGTAGACGTTGCTCTCAGGGGCCTGGGTCACATCGCTGCAGACGTAGCAAGATCTGAAATCGCTGCAACCCTCAAAAACGCTAAGATGCCAGCTAGCAACCTCAGCAAAGATGAGCGTTTTGAATTATATAAATTTAAAAAGAGGGATTACATTGTAGTCCTCTCAGCTGACAAGCGCAATGCTACTGTCATCATGGATAAGATAGAATACAACAACAAAATTAAAGAATTACTCGACGATGGTAGTTATACAAAAATAAAAAGAGATCCCACCAACAGCCTCATCACACAAACCAACAAAATAATTTCTGATTCAACCGCATTAATTGATCAATCTAAACAGTTTTCATTGAAACCTTCTGCTGCCAGGCCACCAAGATTATACGGCTTACCAAAAATACATAAAGTAGATACACCCCTTCGTCCCATCGTCTCTACTATCAACTCCCCCACCTACAAACTGGCTCGTTTATTGTCTGAAATCCTGCGTCCTTTCACTGGAAAACCACCTCTGCGGTACAAAATTCTACTCACCTGGTATCGACAATCAAGGATATTTCCATCCCCAGACGACCTGCTTGTCAGTTTTGATGTAGTTTCCTTATTCACCAAGGTTCCTGTACCTGACACCATCGCAAACATTGAAGACTTGGTTCATCAAGGACTAAACACTGAGGTACCCCCCCTGGTGAGACACTGTTTAACCAATACATACTTCACTTGGAATGAAACTTTTTACAAACAAACTGAGGGCACCCCAATGGGCTCCCCCCTATCTCCGGTTATAGCTAACATTTTCATGGAGAAATTTGAGACTGACGCCATCCAGACTGCCACTCTGAGCCCAACCTTATGGAAGAGGTACGTGGTTGACACTTTTGTCATCTGGCCACATGGCCGGCCTGCTCTAGACCAATTCTTCGACCACATCAATTCCATACACCCAGCCATCAGATTTACCATGGAAGTCGAAAAAGATGGCAAGCTACCTTTATTGGATGTCCTAATAAAAAAGAGACCTGATGGTTCAATGAGCCACTCTGTCTACAGGAAAGCTACCCATACGGGTGCTTATCTGAAACCGGATTCCCACCACCATCCATCACAGAAGAACTCTTTCATCAAGACTCTGTACCATCGAGCCCAATGCATATCCGACCAGGAACACATAGGCAGTGAATTTTGATTTAAAGCTTTTGTGACTGCAGTAATTCATATTCTTAGCTCTTTCGGTAAAGTCACGTTGAAGGGAAACAATAAAATAATAATATATATAAAACAATAAAAAACATTTCACGACGTTTCGACCATAACGGTCGTCATGACGACCGTTATGGTCGAAACGTCGTGAGAATTTTTATTGTTTTATAAATATTTTATTATTTTATTGTTTCCCTTCAACGTGAGTTTACCGAAAGAGCTAAGAATATAGGCAGTGAACTCATGCACGTACACCAAGCTCTAAAGGCTAATGGTTACTCCGACTATACAATCCGTAAAGCTATCACTCAAACCATGAAGAAGGACCCTCTTGAGGAGCCTTTCAAAACCATCACTTTACCCTACATTGCAGGGATCACAAAAAAGATCTCCAAAATCTTGAATGAACACAAGATCCAGGTCCGTGTCAACACATTACATAAAATCCATGATCTGGTTCCGTCTGTAAAAGATGTCATTCCGGACATACAGTACCCTGGTGTCTACAAACTAAGTTGCCTCTGTGGTAGTAGTTACATTGGAGAAACCAAACGCCATGTCTCGGACCGCATTCGTGAACACAAAGCAGACCTTAAACACGGTATGACCAACACCTCGGCCGTGGCAGATCATTGTTATAATTCAGTAGGCTCACATGACATTGACTTTTCCAAGACAGAGGTTCTTTGAAAGCCATCTGGCTACCATGAGAGATTCGTTCATGAGGCTATCCACATATACAAGCACAGAGACAATTTCAACCGAGAAGATGGATTCTGGCTTAGCAATCATTGGAAAGATTTGATTAACCATTTCAGGTCTTAATTGATTGTTCACACTTACAGTGGCTTTCAGACAGCATATATTAATTTTTTCGTCTCCCCCCTCCTCTTTTCAGAACATAGATGGACTCGTCCTTCTAAATAAACTGCCAAATCGCTGTGCGTGGCGCTGACGTTTTTTTAATTATAAATAAATAAGTACACCATTTAAAAATAAATAAATTATTGCTAACCGACACATCTGATGACGACCGTTTGTCTTATGGTCGAAATGTCGTGAGAATTTTTATTGTTTTATATATTTTATTATTTTATTGTTTCCCTTCAACGTGACTTTACCGAAAGAGCAAAGAATATCAAAGGTTTGTTTATGAAGCCATCCAGATATATAAACACAGACATAACTTCCACCGAGAAGATGGATACAAATTGAGCAATCATTGGAAGAATGTTATTAACCAGGTAAAACCTTAACTGCTTCATAGTTTGCCTTCATATCCGCATCTCCAGTGTCTTCAGCTTCCTGCTGCCAGACCCGCTCACTTCCCAGCCCCGGCATTTTGTCGTGCTCGTGTCGGAGCTTGCAGCACTCCACTCCCCCTACCCCACACCCCCCCCTCTATATCTCTCCTCCCTAGCTCCTCCCCCCTCTCCTACCTATAAAGCCTCTTGTTACAAGCAACCCTTTTGCCCACTTCAGCAATTGTTTCTTGCTGTGGTTGTCCCGCCTGATGACGGACGCTTGTGTTGCACCCGAAACGTCGTGATTTAATTTATTTTATTTGAGACCTACGTGACTTTACCGAAAGAACCATGGGGGATTTTTGTCTTTTGCTCTGTGGACTCACCCAGCGCTCGGCTGCTCACATTTGACCGCCGTTGCCTCGCCTCGCCTCCTCTCCTGCTGCGAGGTGAGACACACACGGGGCACTGGGGTTAGCTGCTGAGTGCGGCAGGCGTGGAAAAACACAGTCGTCGCCGTCGTCATCATCCACCAGCCAGGGCCAATCCACTGCTAGATGAAGACATCCTGCCCAAGCCTGCTTTACCTCCATCATCATCATCAACCAGCCAGGGTCAATCCACTGCTGGATTGAGGCCTCCTGCCGAGCCTCCTTCATCTCCATCATAATGAACCAGCCAGGGTCAATCCACTGCTGGATGAACACCTCCTGCCCAAGCCTCCTTCACCTTCATCATCAAACAGCCAGGGCCAATCCATTTCCTGAAAACTGCACATCCATTAATTTAATTTTGTAAAGCTTTCGTGACTGCAGGAATTAATATTCTTTGGTTCTTTCAGTAAAGCACACTCACTCGCTCACTCACTCACATACTCACACGGTCACTCACACGCTCACTCACTCGCTCACATACTCACATACTCACATGGTCACTCACACGCTCACTCACTCGCTCACATACTCACATACTCACTCGCTCACACACTCCCACGCTCGCTCGCTCGCTCTCACACTCGCTCTCACACTCGCTCTCACACTCGCTCACTCACTCACGAACTCACTCAATAACTCGCTCACTCACTTTCTAACTCGCGCACTCATTCACATAAGTGGCCACGTGATTGATGAATCGGGAGTGGACGTACCTGGTGGCGCTGGAAGACGTCACGAGGCATGTTGGACATCGCTCTGCAACGACAAAGCAAACCAGAGCGTCGTTAGTCCTGCCGAGTGTCGTTCGTCCCCCCGAGCGTCGTTAGTCCCCCCAAGCGTCGTTAGTACCCACGTGCATCATTAGTCCCCCTGAGTGTCGTTAGTCCCCGTGATCGTTGTTAGTCCCCTCGAGCATCGTTAGTCTCCCCGTGTGTCATTAGTCCCCCTGAGCGGCGTTAGTCCCAAAGAGCGTCGTTATTCCCCATGAGCGGCGTTAGTCCCCCTGAGTGCTGTTAGTCCCCCCGAGCGTCATTAGTCCCCCCAGAGCAGCAGCACCCAATGACGGCCGGCAAACTGTGGCACACAAAGGGGTTCGATCCCGACCCCAGACGCCTGCTGCTGTATATTTGGAGTTTGCGTGTCTCTCTCTCATCATCATCACGGTGGCTATGAGATGTTAACTACCTCGCCTGGTGTACAGGAGGTCGTGGGTTCGATCCCGACCCTGACGTCTTCAGCTGTATATTTGGAGTTGGCGGTGTTTCTCTCTCTGTCCCCGTACTCGCGTGGATTTATCTCCGGGTTTTACCCCTCCAACATTTAGAATCAACGTCACGTGTTTAGCAAATATTTGGCTGCCGCTATGAATTTCGACACGGCGATGACGATGATGTTAACAAGCCCGGTTTCGTTGGAGATGTTATTCGTTGATAGCCAAGGTCGCTTCTGAAACAAAAGGAGCTACGGAGCACCTCAGTAGTGAGGCCCTTACACTCTGGTGAATGAATAAAAAAAGTTTAAATGCACAAAAAATAAGTTTTTCTTTCTAAACCAACCGGGAGAGGAACAGCGCCACCCATGAACCTCTTGGAACGGCGCTGCCCGGAATTCTTGAGTGAAGCCACCTCCCAACTCTCGTCAATTCACTGATTGATGGTCCACGACTGGCTCCCTTCATTCATTTACTCACTCCAGTCACTCGCTCCATTAATTCACTCCAGTCACTTGCTCCATTAATTCACTCCATTCACTCGTTCCATTAATTCACTCTAGTCACTCGCTCGCTCCATTCTTTCACTCCAGTCACTTGTTTACTCGCTCTTACCTACCACGAGCGTGGTTACTCCCTCCATTAACTCCACTCACTGACTCGCTCCAGCCATATTGAGGACGCGGGTCTGCTGCCAGACGCTCCGACTGCACCATCTCGTCCACCGGACGTGTCCAACCGCACAGCGGCGAGTCAATGGCCATCACCTCCCCCGCCGTGCATAGCATCAGCGGGCTGATCCTTTCAGCGAGCACCGATTAATGCCGGAACGGCACACGATGGTTGTGAGTGTGTGGTGCCACAACAACAGAGCAACTCTGCCAGCGCTGCTATCCCCTCGCACTCCCCCCCCCCCCACACGAATGCATGCACACCCCCACTAAACACACACATGTGTAAAGGTGTTATTGGGTGAACGTACACCGTCTCAGGGGGATAGCAAATACTTACCGATAGGGAGCAGTCAACGGGCTGAGCCAGTGCCAGTGGAATATGACTCAAGGGGCCAACAGTCAGCCGGGGAAAGGGATCCTGGAATGAATGGGCATAGCCCCCAGGTGGGGGCTGTGGAGGGGGAACGATGCCACCCTTGCAGAACCTGGTGGAGGGTTCAGGAAGGGAAGGCGTGGCTAAGGCGGAGCAAGCCACGGAGGAGGATAAAAAGGCCAGGTCCCGGGAGGCTTGAGTAAGTCTGGGCCAGCTGAAGAAAGAAGAACCAGCTGAAGACTGAAGACCGGCTAGCTAGGACCCTGGGACTCCTATCACCCACTCTACTTCTCAGGGCCGGGCAGAGCAAGCCAGTGGTCCGACCCCAGAGCCTCGGAGCCCGACGCCCTTATCAGGGCCGGGTCCGTGTGGCTGGTCATCGGGACTTGCGCCTTGACTGGGCCAGGTCAGCTAGCCTCCCTTAGGGCCCCCTTAGCGGAGGACCCGAGAGTATAGCCAGGAGTAGGCGAGTTAGCCATAGGGGTACCTCCCCAAATAGCAGCGGGTGAAGGGGCCGTTACCCCTTCGAGTACGAAGCTGTATAGAATTGCCTTATATTGGTTTAACTGCTTAATAAATAGCGTTGCCTCTACCCCGTCATCTCCGTCGTCTAAAGAACCCACTACACATGCACCTACGTAGGGTCTCGTGGGGGGGTCACCTGGTACCATGAGTTTTTACCCGAGCGGCCCCTAGTGGAGACGTCCCACGGTTTTCCCAGTGCCAGGAGATTGGCCGACCCCCCCCCCCAAGGCCGAATTGCATTGCGGCCCCGTGAATTAGCTTAAAATTGTATGGGCACGACGAGCTCACCGAGCAAACCACAATGAGAACACACCCAGCGCAGGGAAATAGGGCCTTGGGGGGCAAACGCTCAGCAAGCAGCACATACGAGTTGGGAGGGAAATTCCTGCGTGGTTATGGGACGGCCACCCCGATGAAACCGGTTGAGTCCGGGGGGGAGGACGGGTGCGCAAATAATGGGTGAAGGCACTCCGGCGGCGCCACGCCAGATAGGGGGCGGGGCATCGGTTTAAAATCGAAAGGTAGGCCCCCGGATTGGCCGGCAGGGTAACACCACGTGACCCTAGATTTTTGTATTCGGAGGAGACAAAGGGAGGGGAGGGGAAAACGTTAGTCAGTCCTCCTGCAGCCATTGAGCCACACGGTCGGACTCCCAGCCGCTCGCAGCGTCCGAGCGGCGCGGGCGAGTGCTGCTACAACTCGACCCCAGGCAGAGGCCTCTCGGACCCTCGTCACTCCGACTCCCACCGCGTCCGTGCGACACTGTGAGTACGTCCCCGCAGTGAGAAGGAGAGTAAGGGTCCACCCAGGGATTGAATAGGAATAGACTGGGCGCTGCTCGCTGAGCATTTTGCTCTTGGCCACCACGCAGTGCTTTTCTTCAGGCGCGCCATTAATAAACCTCAGCACAGAACACACCGACGCCTCGTGATTTCTGTGTGTGTGGGGAGAGCGTAGGTGTGGTGTGAGTACGTGCGTACGTGCGTACGTGTGTACGTGTGAAGCGCGCGTGTATTCAATCATAAACGACCGCTGACGTTTGTATGCTTGTTTACTTAGCGCGTTTTACGCAGTGTGTTCATGTAGCGACGATATCACTCAGCGGTGGAACGCGCGAATATTATCGTCGGCCCGGCCGTCGTTTTGCCCGCCTGCCCATGCCCGTGTGCGTGTTTGCACAGCGGATTAAAGCCGACCTAACGGAAGGTGGAGAGGGACGCGTGCATATTCATACGGCTATTTTTAGCGCGAGCCGTGGTGGGCGGGGGTACGCCCACGCAGGCACGCGCGAGCAAGCAGCCACCTCCGCATTAGTGGGGGAGTATGTGTGCGAGTGTGTGGTATAACTCCAGGCGGTGGGGAGCCAGCCACTTGCCATGTCCAACAAAGAGAACGCGGGGAGGCCGATGACTTGATCGGCGGCAGCCCGGCGAGACGGGGCGGAGGAGGAGGGGGGAGAGGAGGAGGGGGCCTCAGCCCCCACAAGTGTGTGGGTGGGTGGGTGGATGGCTGGGGGTTTGGTGGGTGGTGTGTGGGTGTGTGGGTGGCTAGGTGTGTGTGCGGGTGGCTGGGTGTGTGGGTGGGTGTGTGGGTGGGTGGATGGCTGGGTGTGTCGGTGGATGGGTGGTGTGTGGATGGGTGTGTGTGTGGGTGGCTATGTGGGTGTGTGGGTGTGTGAGTGTGTGGGTGGGTGGATGTGTCGGAGCTGTAGTGTTGCATTTAGAGCATTGCACTACGAACCCGACGACCCGAGTTCGATGCCCGCTCACGGCCAACACCAGTGATGATAACACTGGTCTACAATTTTTTAGATGACGTCTGCTTCAGAGATGAAATGTGCTGTTTAGTATGGATTTTGATATGCTGAATTCAAATATAACAATTAAAACTAGGGGAGGCCCAGAACCAGTTCAGTTAATTATCTGAACCGGTCCTGGCCCCCCCGAGGTCGACTGCGGTGTGTAAACATCGCCACTGGGGAGACAAAGAGGGTCGGGCATGCTGCCGGCCACCTGCCCTCTCGTGCACCGTTCCGGCCTTCATAGTTGCACGCTAACAGCACTTGCCCCAACAGTCTGTTCAGGCTTTACGGGGGATCTTTGGCTTTGTAGCCTGGGTCGAGTTGTCGTGCACTTCACCTTGGCAGACGATCGTTCCCCGTGGATGACCGGAGCCGTGACCCTGGGTCTTACGGCCGATGTTACAGCCATCATAAATACCCGCACGACCTCTCCCCTACCCTACCCAACCCCCACAATGGACATTAGATGCTTCACAGAACGTTACACAAGAGTGAGAAAACTTCAGCAGAAGTGGTTACAGTGAGGGAAAAAAGTATTTGATTTTGTACGTTTGCCCACTGACGAAGAAATGATCAGTCTATAATTTTAATGGTAGGTTTATTTGAACAGTGAGAGACAGAATGACAACAAAAAAATCCAGAAAAACGCATGTCAAAAATTGTATAAATTGATTTGCATTTTAATGAGGGAAATAAGTATTTGACCCCTCTCCAAAATATGACTTGGTACTTGGTGGCAAAACCCTTGTTGGCAATCACAGAGGTCAGACGTTTCTTGTAGTTGGCCACCAGGTTTGCACACATCTCAGGAGGGATTTTGTCCCACAACTCTTTGCAGATCTTCTCCAAGTCATTAAGGTTTCGAGGCTGACGTTTGGCAACTCGAACCTTCAGCTCCCTGCACAGATTTTCTATGGGATTAAGGTCTGGAGACTGGCTAGGCCACTCCAGGACCATAATGTGCTTCTTCTTGAGCCACTCCTTTGTTGCCTTGGCCGTGTATTTTTGGTCATTGTCATGCTGGAATACCCTTCCACGACCCATTTTCAATGCCCTGGCTGAGGGAAGGAGGTTCTCACCCAAGATTTGACGATACATGGCCCCGTCCATCGTCCCTTTGATGCGGTGAAGTTGTCCTGTCCCCTTAGCAGAAAAACACCTCCAAAGCATAATGTTTCCACCTCCATACTTGACGGTGGGGATGGTGTTCTTGGGGTCATAGGCAGCATTCCTCCTCCTCCAAACACGGCGAGTTGAATTGATGCCAAAGAGCTCCATTTTGGTCTCATCTGACCACAACACTTTCACCCATTTGTCCTCTGAATCATTCAAATGTTCATTGGCAAACTGCAGACGGGCATGTATATGTGCTTTCTTGAGCAGGGGGACCTTGCGGGTGCTGCAGGATTTCAGTTCTTCACGGCGTAGTGTGTTACCAATTGTTTTCTTGGTGACTATGGTCCCAGCTGCCTTGAGATCATTGACAAGATCCTCCCGTGTAGTTTTGGGCTGATTCTTCACCGTTCCCATGATCATTGCAACTCCACGAGGTGAGATCTTGCATGGAGCCCCAGGCCGAGGGAGATTGACAGTTCTTTTGTGTTTCTTCCATTTGCGAATAATCGCACCAACTGTTGTCACATTCTCACCAAGCTGCTTGGCAATGGTCTTGTAGCCCATTCCAGCCTTGTGTAGGTCTACAATCTTGTCCCTGACATCCTTGGAGAGCTCTTTGGTCTTGGCCATGGTGGAGAGTTTGGAATCTGATTGATTGATTGCTTCTGTGGACAGGTGTCTATTATACAGGTAACAAGCTGAGATTAGGAGCACTCCCTTCAAGAGTGTGCTCCTAATCTCAGCTCGTTACCTGTATAAAAAAACCTGGGAGTCAGAAATCTTTCTGATTGAGAGGGGGTCAAATACTTATTTTCCTCATTAAATTGATTTTTTTTGTTATTCTGTCTCTCACTGTTAAAATAAACCTACCATTAAAATCATAGACTGCTCATTTATTTGTCAGTGGGCAAACGTACAAAATCGGCAGGGGATCAAATACTTTTTTCCCTCACTGTAAGTCAAAATCGTAATTAAAGTATATATTTTTGGAGACTCCATCCCACCGTGCACATAAATGCCGCGACTCGCCTGGCGCGGATCATTCTGTCGTCATGTCGTCCAAGCGCAGCGAGGGCGAATGTGCAGAAGAAACAAAACTTTGATTAGCGCATCGTGTAGAGCTCATCAAGAGGAATAGAATGCCGTATATTTCGCCTTCAACAGACATAAAATGACGTCGCAACGCAGTTAATACGAGAGCCGGGGGCTTATGGGACTCCGGGGTCCCGCCATGAGGTTCAATTGTCGGAGTAGGAATTATAGTAGTAGGAATTGTAGTAGTAGGAATTGTAGTTATAGGAATTGTACTAGTAGGAATTGTAGTAGTAGTAATTGTAGTTGTATGAATTATAGTTGTAGGAATTGTAGTAGTAGGAATTGTAGTTGTAGGAATTGTAGTAGTAGGAATTGTAGTAGTAGGAATTGTAGTTGTAGGAATTGTAGTAGTAGGAATTGTAGTAGTAGGAATTGTAGTTGTAGGAATTGTAGTTGTAGGAATTGTAGTAGTAGGAATTATAGTTGTAGGAATTGTAGTTGTAGAAATTGTAGTAGTAGGAATTGTAGTAGTAGTAATTGTATGAATTATAATTGTAGGAATTGTAGTAGTAGGAATTGTAGTTGTAGGAATTGTAGTAGTAGGAATTGTAGTAGCAGGAATTGTAGTAGTAGGAATTGTAGTTGTAGGAATTGTAGCAGTAGGAATTGTAGTAGTAGGAATTGTAGTTATAGGAATTGTAGTAGTAGTAATTGTAGTAGTAGTAATTGTAGTAGTAGTAGTAATTATAGTTGTAGGAATTGTAGTTGTAGGAATTGTAGTTGTAGGAATTGTAGTAGTGTAGTGACATCACAGATGTCACTGTGTGGTGCCTGCCCGAGAGAGAGAGCCACGGCGTGCGATGCATTGTCATCGCGGACACCCCGTAGGTGGGTGTAGTACCA